CCCGCGACCCTTGGATTGCGAGTCGAGCGCCCTAACCACCTGGCCATGCCGGGCCATGGTTAAATGCAAACACAAATTTACAGTTTTAATAAAAATGACTAAAAATACGATGTTAAGTTTACATAATAATACGTTTAATTTTTTGTGAAATGTAAGGGGGCAAATGCCCCTTCTTTCTCTTCCTGCGGGGGTCAATGCCTTTTGGGTGATAATTTGTTCAGGCTTTTCCAAAATTATAGTTCTTTAATATTTGTTCAATACTTTATTATTATTAAATAGATTTTGACTTTTGATCACCTTAATAAAAAAAAATATAGTTTGATTTTTAATTATCTAATACTTATTCGGTTAGTTTAACAATATAGAATCATATTTGTCCATTATTATTTAGTATACTCTTCATTTAAAATTACTTTAATATTCACTGTAAATTATACTTAGTTTATGTTCGCTCAGTAAATTGAAAGTCATAATTTATTAAGAAAGACCTAGAAGTGTATGGATAAAGTTAAAACAAACATACATCTTCTCAGGGCTTGCAGACAAAGTTAACACAGATATACATCCAATCAGGGCTTGTATGCAAAGTTAAAACAGACATACATCTTCTCAGGGCTTGTAGACGAAGTTAAAACAAATATACATCCTATCCGGGATTTTATGCAAAGTAAAAACAAACATACATCTTCTCAGGGCTTGCAGACAAAGTTAACACAGATATACATCCAATCAGGGTTTGTATGCAAAGTTAAAACAGACATACATCTTCTCAGGGCTTGTAGACGAAGTTAAAACAAATATACATCCTATCCGGGATTTTATGGAAAGTTAAAACAGACATACATCTTCTCATGGCTGGAACTAGTGAAAAGTCAAAAGAAGTTTGATTGAATTCATAATTCGCAAAAGACGAAGATTTTGAGCAAACCTTTAAACGATTTTTATTTAAATTGTGTAGAACATTCTTAAGTTACACACAATAAATAAAGAATAAAGCTGCATTCAATAAGGTCCTCACGCATGTCGTTTACTTCTAAATCAGAGTTTAATTTTCTTTTTTATATTATATTTTAAAGTGTTTAGTTCTTCAGTTCTTAATGTTGGATGCTGGAAGACTATACACCGTATGAAATTTCACTCTTAAGTCCCTCCAAGTGGCACAGCGGTACGTCTGCGGACTTAGAATGCTAGAAACTGGGTTTCGATACCCATTGTGTAGTTTTGTACATAACTTCAAAACAAACAAACATCACTCTTAAGCATTCAGGAGCTAGCTTTCTTTCAGACAACTGTAGCGTTTTAATACATTCTTTTCAAATTCTGCCTATCGCGCAAGCTTAAGTGTATAAGGATGTGAAATGTTATTTATATGAAAACAAGTTCTGAAACGCAATCTTACGTCAACTACTTACAGATAGTGTTCAAAACTGCAGGATTAGATTAAGAACCTTCGTGGTAATATGAGTTGAATAAAGAAATATTTTCTAGCATCTTCAATATCAGCTCAGAATATTTTAATACTTATGGATTATGTCTCAACATAAGGTTTTTCGTTTCGGGTATGATTTCGCTAACTATGCAGGTTAATACATTACAGTACTGTGTCGTCAGCTTAACATAACATAACATTAAATGACAACAAGGGATCTTTTGGTCTATATAGGCCGTCCTGTCCATTGAATTAAACTAGACATTAAAAATATCTCAATCTTAGTTCTTATCATTCAGCCCCCAGTGGCACAGCGGTATGTCTGCGGACTTACAACGCTAGAAACCGGGTTTCGATACCCGTAGAGGAAGTCGAAACAGGTACATGTGAAGTGTGCTTCTAAAGTGGAAGCCGTTGACGGCTTTA